AAAAGAGTGAGACTCTGTCTCAAAAAAAAAAAAAAAAAAAAAAGGGAAAAAGAGAGAGACCAGAAACAGACCTGCAGATAGGTAGTCACTTTACCCTCTACTAGTAGCCACTGTAACGCAATGAGTAAAGTTCTTTTCAGTAAATAGTGCTAGGTCAATTGAACGTTGAAAATGAACCTTGATTCCTACTTCATACAGAAGAATTAATTCTAGACAGATCGTAGACCTAAATGTGAAGGGTACAACTCTAGACAATAACATAGCAGAATATCTTGACCATAAGATAGGAAAATACTTTTTAGCAGAATACAAACAGTATCAACTCTAAAGGAAAAGTCTGATAAATTGGGCATGATTAAATATAAGACATCAAACTACACCATTAAAAGAGTGAAAAGACAAGCAATAAAGCAGAGAAAATATTCATAATACAGTCATGCGTGGCATAGTGACTAATACTGCTTGTAAACTAAAAATAAAATCCTAAGCCCACCCTCCTGACTGAACGGATCCCCTCTTGGCCAACGGGACCAAAGAAAAACCTTAAAACTGAGTTCCCAGCCATGAAGCAAAGGGAGATCAAACACAACTCATTATACTCCTGCTCTTTTGGAGGCTAGACACAATCGATCAGCATTAATGTTAAAACAGATCATAAGACTGACAAAACAGACTTTTTGTGACAGTAAGATACTATTTTTTTTTTTTGAAACAAAGTCTCACTCTGTTGCCCAGGCTAGAATGTGGTGGCATCAACATAACTCACTGCAGCCTCAAACTCATAGGCTCAAGTGATCCTCCTGCCTCAACCTCCCATAACTGGGACTATAGGTGTGCACCACTACACTCTGCTAATTTTTTTATTTTTGTAGAGACAAGTTCTCACTATGTTGCCCAGGCTGGTCTCGAACTCCTGTCCTCAAACAATCCTCCCACCTCAGCCTCCCAAAGTGCTGGGATTATAGGTATGAACCAACATGCTTGGCTAAGATACTAAATTATTAACAGAATCTATGGCCATGCAAATCAAAGGTTGTCACTCCTGCGGGTCATTGATTTGCTTAACAGATCACTCGAGTCATTATATTGTGGCTTGCCCTCTGATTAATAGACTTCCTTATCCCAACTTAAAATGTTCCAAGCCTTTAGACAAAGTTTTATTTTTTTAACCAATTACAAATCAAAGAATCTCTAAACCCACCTATAACCTATAAGCCTCTCCTTCGAGATGTCCTACTTCTTTGTGCCAAACCAATGTATAATTTCCATGTATTGATTTATGATTTTACCTGCAATTCCTATGTCCCTAAAATGTATAAAACTGGTTTCCTTCGGCACACTTTCTCAGGATTTCTTGAGACTACGTTCCCTGGGCTATTGGTCACACATATTTGGTCAGAATAAACCTCTTCAAATTATTTTACAGAGTTTGATTTTTTTTCAGCAAATGTGGTCAACAATGGACCACATATACAACAATGGTCCTATAAGATTATAATGGAGCTGAAAAATTCCTATTGCCTAGTGATGTCGTGTTTGTCTTAACATCCTAGCAAAAGGCATTACTCACCTATTGTTGGTGATGCTGGTATAAACAAACAAACTACACTGACTTTTTATCATTACTTTGTGTGTGTGTGTGTGTGTGTGTGTGTGTGTGTGTGTGTGTGTATTAAAACAGACTCAGGCAGATCCTTCAGGAGATCTTCCAGAAGAAGGCATCATTATTATAGGAGAAGACAGCTCTATGCCTATTATTGCCCCTGAAGACCTTCCAGTGGGACAAGATGTGGAGGTGGAAGACAGTGATATTCATGATCCTGACACTGTGTAGGTCTAGGCTAATGTGTGTATTTGTGCCTTAGTTTTTAACGAAAAAAGTTTAAAAAGTAAAACAAAAATTTTATTAGAATAAAAGCTTATCGAGTAAGGACATAAAGAAAAAATATTTTTGTACAGCTGTACAATGTACATTTTAATCTAAGTGTTACAACAAAAGAGTCAAAAGTTTAAAAAATTAAGTTTATAGAGTGAAAAAGTTACAATAACCTAAGGTTAATTTATTACTGAAGAAAGAAAAAAATATTTTTTAATTTAGTGTAGTCTAAGTGTACAGTGTGTGAACTAAAATAAAATCCTACACACCCTTTACCCCTGCCAACTGAACAGAACCCTTCTTGGCCAAGGGGACCCCAGAAAAACCTTAAAACTGACTTCCTGGCCATGAAGGTAAGGGAGGTCAGGCCTGGCTGAGACAATAAGATACTAAATTATTGGCAAGACCTAAGACCACGCAGAGGAAAGGAAAATCACCTGCAGGCCATCAGTTTGCTTAACAGATCACTGGGTTTGGTAGATTGTGGCTTGTCTTTGACTAACCAACTTCCTTCTGTCAACTTAACCTTTCTAATCCTCTAGACAAAGCTTTATTTCTGTAACCAATTACAAATCAAAGACTCTCTCAACCCACCTATAACCTGTAATACTCGCAGCCTTCTGGCCCCCTGCTTCAAGATGTCTGGCTTTTTTGGGCCAAACAAAGGTATACTTTCATCTGTTGATTTATGATTTTACCTGCAATTCCTGTCTCCCTAAAACATATAAAATCAAACTGTAACCCAGACATGGCAGGACCACTTGCTCCAGACTTCTTGGGCATGGCACCCTGGGCCATGATCACACATGTTCGGCTCAGAATAAAGCTCTTTAAGTTATTTTACAGAGTTTGGGATTTTTTCCATGAATAACTATTTAAAAAGTCTACAGTAATGTACAGTAATGTCCTAGGACTTCACATTCACTCACTACTCCCTGACTCACCTGGAACAACTTCCAGTCTTGCAAGTTCCGTTCATGGTAAGTGCCCTATCTAGGTGTACCATTTTTTTTAATCTTTTATATGAAGTCATTAAAGATGAAATGTTTGATTTTGAATTAAAAGTGTAGTATATTATATCTCAAATAAGAAGCAATACAATTAATCAAAGTACACACCTAAACTATCAACACAGTTTTGCCATCTTAATGGTAGTTCATTTATGCCAGCAGCAAAGAAACCTGGAGATCCAGTGGTGATGAAATCACAAAAGGCATTTTCCACAGGTTGTTGAGAATTGAATATTTTTCCTTGCAAGAAGTGGTCCAAAGCCTGGAAGAACTGGTAGTCAGTTGGTGCAAGGTCTGGTGAATACGGTGGATGACAGAGAGTTTCCAAATCCAGCCTCTATAATTTGAGCAGCGTTATTTGTGTGACATGTGTTTGAGCGTCGTCTTGTAAGAGTATTGGCCTGTCTCTATTGACCAATCTTGGCTGCTTAATCACAAGCGTCCTCATCATTTGGTCCAATTGGTTGCAGTAGACATCCGCTGTAATCAACTGATCAGGTTTCATGAAGCTGTAGTGGATAATACCAGCACTGGACCACCAAACAGACAACATTAGCTCTTTTTAATGAATATTCAGGTTTGGACTGTTTGCACTTCATCTTTATCCAACCATTATGCTGAATGCTCGCAATTGTCAAAAAGAATCCATTTTTCATCACACATAACAACACAGTGTAGAAATGATCCACCTTTATGTCGTGACAGCAAAGAAAGGTAAGCTTCGAGAAGATTTCTCTTCTGATGCTCATTTAATTCATGCAGTACCCATCTATCCAGCTTCTTTACCTTGCCAATTTGTTTCAAATGGTCCAATATTATTGGAATAGTAACGTCAAAGCTTGCTGCTAATTCACTCGTGGGTTGAGATGGACTTGCTTCCACTACAACTTTCAGCTCATCATTATCGACCTTGATCTCAGGCCACCCACGTGGCTCATTTTCAAGATCGCCAGAACAGAACTTCCTAAACCATCAACATACTGTGTGTTCATTAGCCACATCCTTCCCAAACACTTTGTTGATATTTTGAGCTGTCTGGGCTGCCACCCCCAGTCTGAGGAAAAATTGTCCTCCATGCAACCAGTCCCTGGTGCCAAAAAGTTTGGGGACTGTTGCTTTAGGGGGTTAGGACAGCGCTCTTCCCTGCCCCTTTCTTCTTCCCAGTGGCTGCCTTGGATGTGGCAGTGTGCCATCTGGCACCACGCGGACCTGAGAAACGCTGTAGGGATGATAGAAGGGGCCTGGGTTCCTGGCACATGGAACCACCTCACCAGCCTGACTTCTTACACCAGATGGCTCTGAAATAAACTTCTGTCTTGATCAAGTGTCTGTTCTTTGTGTTTGTATGACGTGAGGCCAAAACTATATTCTAACATACATAGAGACCTAGAATGGGGGGTCAAATCAAGGCCATATGGCATGGGAAAGAGAGGGACAGCTCAATCTAAAGCTGGAAGCAGGCAGGGGTGGGCTCGGAGCACATGGTGTCCATCACAGGGACAGGTGCAGCTGTGTCCAAATCCCAGCTCTGCACCTATTGGTTTTTGGGTATT